CGTCATAGGGTACGGCCAGAGTGCACTCAGATTCAGACTCAGAAAACAATCGCGAGAAATAAACAATGTAGTTAAAGCAGGGTGGCCATAGTGGAAGCAGGCAACCTGCTTAGACTACACTGTATATTTCTCGCGATTGTTTTCTGAGTCTGAATCTGAGTGCACTCTGGCCGTACCCAGAGCCCCCACCATCGCGCTGGCGCATTCGGTGGCACGCAGTCGACACCACTACAGAACGTGTCACGACACATACGACCTACAAATATGTCTCTAGCCATAATAAATGAATAAAACGGATGTGTTTCTGGCGTGTCACGACACATAAACATGTTTCTGCCTTTACTATTCAGTCTCTTTCGGACCAAACAGTTAGCATTCCTGTTACCATTAGGTATTTAACTTCCTTGGCCTGACCCAAATCTATTAGATCCAAAGACTTTATATAATACCTAGACTGTGCACGAAAAAAATTAGTTAATCTAAATAGATAGCTATTATCTTGATAAGCGGTCGCTAGTAAAAACGGTCCTGAGTGAGAAAGCACCCAACGGTAGTGTGTCCCTTTCTAACGTCTTGCCAGCTCAATTTATCATTGGGTTTGGTAGAAATGGTAGAAAATGTCATCCTTTTCTATTTGTGATTTACTGATTAATTACCGATACGAACGATTCGTAAACTATGAAACGTATTTAAACATTTATACAGTTCCTATAAATAATAAAATATTCATTGATATTTTTAAAATAAATCTAAATACAGAGTAAAAGTAATATTTAATTAGTTGAGCCTGGTAATACTGAATGTAAGATGGTGATTTGTTCACTTGATGACAATGACAATGATGACACTTGATGACAATTTGATTTGAAATATTGTAAATTTGCTTAATAAAGTGTATTTTTTTAAAATGGTGAACTCGTGTTGTGTAACAGGGTGCTACAATGAATCTTATCCCGGTAGCCCTTTTTCTTTTCACGGGTAAGTAAAACTTACAATCATATTCATTAGGTGTACCATGAATTTTGGAGGTAGATGAGATTTTCGTTCTTAACATGAGTTGTGTGAATTTAATGAATCAATTATTAAATAATGCGGTCGCGGTTACTTCCTTGTTTCGTAGGTACTTTTTAGAGCGTTTTTAGATTCGTATCATCATCATCATCAGCCTATTAATGTCCCCACTGCTGGGGCACAGGCCCTCCCTATGGATGGAATAGGGAGATTGGGCCATGACCCACCAGGCGGGCCCAGTGCGGATTGGCGGGTGCTAACGACTGCAGATGCAGCCGGGACCAACGGTTTAACGTGCCTTCCGAAACACGGAGGAACTCGAGATAGATGTTTTTGGTCACCCATCCCATGACCGACCACTGCGAAAATTGCTTAACTTCAACCATCGCAGCCGAACGCGCTAATCACCTGCGCCATCGAACTCCTCACAAAAATAGTAAAAAAAAAATTTTTTTTTTCTTGTATTGTGTAGATTTCCGAAGAACGAAAAGCAGAAATTGATGTGGGGAAATGCAGTGCCTGGAAAAATTTCTAAGTCGTCAGTTGTTTGCAGTGCGCATTTTAAATATGAATAAGACATTTAAATAAGACTTGGAAGCTACGGGAAGTCCTTAACCCTTGAGCACGTAGGACATAAGGCTACATTGCGGCAAAAACTGCGCAAAACCATATTATTTAGCAATGTATAAAAAACAATTTTAATAAAAATATTGTAAACAAATGATTGTCTTTTTTCCGTCCAGAATTTGATGAATTTGATTTGGCATTGACCGATTTATCTACCTCACAATATGTGGGTTACCGTGTTGTTAGCTTACCTGAATAAACATACTTTTAAGAGTACTTTCCCTTCAGGTGGCTGGCATTACAAAATTCCACCCTTTTTATCTAATCTCAGTCCAAGCCAAGCTACGCGTACTAGTTTAAATACCGAATGAAACAGTTCATAGTACCTATGTATTATTATTTTTAAAACCTACATACCTTCGTTTGGTCTGTGTTTAGAGGTATATGCATAGATGAGGTTTTTCATATTAATTAACACTACATAGGTGTCGATTCTAGCATGATTCTCTAAACCTAAACTTAAATTTGACAGCAGTATATCCTTGTCATTCTCTATACAGAATGAAAAGGAGAGACTGATGTTAAATTTAGTTTTAAGTTTAGAGAATCACGTCAGAATCGACACCATAGTCTAAATTACGTAAAATAATAAGTTTTTGTCGATGTAACAGCAAAAAAAAGGTGCCAAAATCAGGTATTGGCATTTATGTTAAATTAATGGTAAGTCTGATGATACATTATTGTTTCTTAGGTTTTCACGCACATCACTCATTAAATAAAACTAGTTTTTCACGGGTTAATGCACGAAACTTTATTTATTTATTGACGTTTCGCAGCCTTTACAGGCCGCGTCGTCGGAATTTGTCATCATACAAAGACTTAGTGTAATTTTTTATTACACTAAGTCTTTGTATGATGCACTTAGCAAGTTAAAAAATACGCCATGTAGTTTTTATTTTAACTCATAATCACAAATTACTTACATGTTTAGACAGTAGCAGATACTAAACACAGTCCTCTCTACAAGCTATATTAAATAACAAATACTAATAACAAATTTTGTCCCTCGTTACGCTTGAATATGGTCACTTCATGAGAAAGGAACACACTACCATTGGAAGCCCTCTCGCCCGGACCGTTTTTAACGCGATGCACAGTCTAGGTATTATATAAAGTCTTTGATTAGATCTGGCGGAAAGTCCGTCAAGTTGGCAACACTGCATCGGAATATTGCAACCCGGAGAAACGCAAACGATTATCTATGTATTAAAAACAAATATCGCAATAACGCGTTAACGCATCCGATTTTTTTTGAGTGTGTATGCTGTTGGTCGCAGATGACCTTTACAGCGTCACCGGGTTTGGGGACGGCGAGATCCTAAGGGGACCTCAAGCTGAGAATTGGCGAGTACCTCTGGAGGTATTCCAGTCGGATGGCGTCTCCCCACGGGGGGAGTCTCCTCTCCGTCTGGAGCCTCCAGACAACTCGAACCTGAACGCATCCGATATTGTTGTCGATTCTGACATGATTCTCTATACTTACAATTTAATTTAACAACATTGGTAGCTTTCCAATTACAGCATTATAGCGCATTATGCGGCATAATGCTTAACGTTGAGTGTTCCAACTACAGCAACGCTTCGCACAATTGAGCACTCTCAAAAGTGATGCTTTCGTGTGATGCGTGCAATCGTACCAACTCAGAGACAGAAAATTAACAAGTGTTTTTCTTTAAGTTGGCATTGATCGAAATGTTTTATTTATATGTTATCGTTAGTAATATTATTTATTGTTGAAAAATTATTAAAGCTTTCGTTTCATTAAATAGTTTTTTTTTAAATAATCAAAGTTCATTCAAACTGATAAAAAATAAATATAAGTATGGATGAAGGTACAAACATTGACTTTTTTTTTCAACACTGAACTTAGCGCACTCTGCTGGTGCATTTGAAAACTAATTCACTTTCCAATTAAGCATCAGCATAATTCAGCATTGTGCGGCACTGAGTCGCATTATGCTCTGTAATTGGAAAGCAACCAGTGTATCCTTGTAATGCTTTAAACAGATTGAAAAGGAGAGACTGATGTTAAAAGTTTTAAGTTTAGAGAATCTTGCCAGAATCGACACTAATGTCGACTGATATCTATGGGGCATTGATTTGGTTTGCTCAAGGCGTGTATAAGGGTACGGCCAGAGTGCACTCAGATTCAGATTCAGACTCAGAAAACAAGCGCGAGAAATATACAGTGTAGTTTAAGCAGGTTGCCTGCGGCCACTATGGCCACCCTGCTTTAATTACACTGTTTATTTCTCGCGCTTGTTTTCGGAATCTGAATCTGAATCTGAGTGCACTCTGGCCGTACCCTAAGGGTGCGGCCAGAGTGCACTCAGATTCAGATTCAGATTCAGATTTCGAAAACAAGCGCGAGAAATAAACAGTGTAGTCGAAGGGTACGGCCAGATTGCACTCCTGATTCAGATTCAGATTCAGACTCAGAAAACAAAGCGCGAGAAAAAGCAGGCAACCTGCTTAGACTACACTGTTTATTTCTCGCGCTTGTTTTCAGAATCTGAATCTGACTCTGAATCTGAGTGCACTCTGGCCGCACCCTTTGGCCGTATACAGAAAGAAAGCCGAAAGCCGATCGGCGCTTATCGGCGCCGATCCTTCCTACATAAAGGAAGCCGATTAAAGCAGATCAAGCAAAATGTCGGACTCATCGGACGATGATTTGGTTTTGTTAGAAAATGTTTATTTAAAAATGCGAAAAACAGCTATACATCCTATAAATAGAGAAAGGAAACGTTTCGGAGAATACCATCATTTATTTGTTTCTGAGGTTTTCACGCACATCACTCATTAAATAAAACTAGTTTTTACGGTTTAATGCACGAAACTTTATTTATTTATTGACGTTTCGCAGCCATGCAGACCTGAAAAGGCTGCGAAACGTCAATAAATAAATAAAGTTTCGTGCATTAATCCGTAAAAACTAGTTTTATATACCATCATTTATTTGTAAAAAAAATTAAATTTGATGAACAAAGATTTTATACATATACAAGAATGATTCAAGAAACATTTTATTACATTTTGGATTTAGTGAAAAACCGTTTGATGAAAAATTGGGGCTGCAAAACTTATACAAAACAATACAAAAAATAACAATAAAACCAACTGTGTACTCGCCAGCCTGTAACTTATAATTACAAATTGTAACATTAACTAGTATTTTTATTATTAAAATATAAGTTAAATGCTCTAAACTGCGTTAGTAGATACCAACCTTACCTACCTAATAAAAATACAGCTTTAAACACTCACAAAATATTTGGCGCCATCACCACCCAGTCACGTGACTTTCACAACGTCGTCTTCTCTTCGTCCGCCCGCCATATTGGAATTAAGCGCTAGTGATAGGAAAATTTGTGCTGTCGATTAAATTTAAATAAATATACGCTACGATAGGGATTGTTTTAATAAGAATATTATGCTAAGATCTTGTTGTGTTGTGTATTATATGGAAGCTGTGAAAAAATATTGTAAAGTGCATTTGAATTATTATTGAGGTTGAAGTGATTTTGGAATAACCAAAGTACCCTAGCTGCTAGTGAACGGCACCAGACAGAAAAGAAAAGGCTGCTTAGCATCGTACTGCAGCACTAGGTCATTATTTTCTTTAGGTAAATTTGACATTTATCTACTAGACTTGAACATTTAATTGATTGACTTGGCTTCTTGTTACCGGCTCAAATTGTTTACTTGAAAGTACATCGATAAAAATAAAAAGAAGAAGAACAACATTAGTAATTTCGGTCAAAGTAATGCGGAGATTTCTGTGGCTTTAAATAATTTATGCTTATTTTACGGTATAGCCAATAATCAACTATTGTTTTTGTTTATTCGAGCATATGTTTCCTTAACAGAATGTAACAAAATTGTGTAAGGCTGAAATGGAGCGAAGCCATCATTTATTTATTTTTATATTATGTATTTTATTAGATGACCTTTGAATTCGTTATGTACACGTCTACAGAGCAGTACCATGGAACCGCCATTTTGATTGCTAGCGCCTTGCCAGGGGGGGTTGAGGGGGGGCGGGAGGGGAATATTTCGCTATAAAAAATATGACGCTCAGACAGTTTGGTATCTCATTTTCTCACTCTCAAAAACATAACCTAATAAGCACTGCTGTTTTGATAGGTGGATACTACATGGAATGTAGCCTTTGCTCAACATGAATGGAGATGTCAATGGCAGTATGGCTGAGTCAATGGATGTAAACCTTAGTTCACCTGACCAATCAAAACTTACTCTAGAGGGCTGTGATGATGTCAAGAATTGTGAGAATATTGTTAAAGCGGACAGCTGTAACACTTCCGTCAGTGAGTCCATCAATGGATCAGTGGATGGTGGTATAGTTGAAAGATCTGGGACTGAAAATAGCAGTGATCTCATTGATAAGCAACTAAATGATAATGCAAGCAATCTGAGCGACTCTGAAAAGTTAACGCAAGAGCTAACAAACAATGTTGTAGCGAAAAGTCCCTGTGAGAATGGTAATAAGTCAGATCCAGAATCAACAGAAAGTTGTCAAATGGATTTCAAAATTGTTGATTCAAATAAATCCAATGAATTAGTAAAAGATTTCAAAGATAATGTATCTTCAAAAGAAAATGGATGCATAAAAGCAGCAGATCAGGTAAATACATAGTTATATAGTTAGTTAAAGTTATATACTAAATAAAATACTTTGTATTCTCTTTACCTAAACATACATCATCTTCTAATTCATAAAATGTATAGAATTTTTGTAAAGTCATGGTTTTTTTAATAAATAAGGAGTATTTTAATATATTTGCTACCATACGAAATGAGTAAATGTAAGAATTTAATTACTCACTTAATTCATTGTCTAATAAACTAGGTGTAATCCAATTTTGAAGGTAAACTATGGGTCAATAAAGTTAATGTGTGATTTCAATAAAAGTATTTAGCACTTTAAGGAATGAGGATTTTAATAATGTGATTTAACATTTGATAGTAAACATGTTTGTTCAAAATATTCAAAATTTTAATGTATACTTGAAATAAGATTAGAATCTTTGTATTTTTTTTTAATCTAATGTTTATCTCTAAATATTTGTTTACATAAATTTATGCTACTATAGATATAAATATTAGAAGCTTCCCATGACTTTGGATATCTTAATCAAATTAACATCATTTTATTCATATATCTATGTAATAAAATATATCTATTTAAACCTTTATTTAAAATTACCAAAAGAAAAATTATCTCAATGTTGTTTAGTTATTATTAGCCTACTGTGAGGTTAGTTTGATTGATTTTCTATATCAATAGAAAAATATAACAAGCCACTTTGACAAGCATTAAATTTTAATTGAAGCCTTTGAGTACAGCCATAAATCAATTCTTACCAGTTCTCATTGCCAGCAATAAGATAACTATTTTGTGTAGAAATAAAGAGTGAAACTAGCTGTTGCTCACCACCAGAGCTTTTCCTTATTTTCTGAGAAATTAGCTACTAATTCTTGTATTTTTTTTTTCAAATACTTGTTTGCTGGCATTTGCAAAAGTTGCAGTTTGCAGAACTGGTATCATAAATATAAACTTATCATGATGCCATCAAGTCTCTCAAAGTTGTAAATACCCTGAAGTTAAATGTTTCTATGCTTACTTCTACTTTAAAAACGATGCTAGTTAAATTAACTAGTCTTGGTGTTTTATATATTACATTGTGCAAGTCATTACATTTGCTAGATTTTTTTACTCGTACACAAATATACTTATATAAACTTTGTTTCAATTATTGTTTTAGAGTATAAACAGATTTGAACCATTATTTTTCCTTAATTTTTGTGAATCTGATTTTGAATTAGTAATTTTTAAATATAGTATAGCCTTACAAAAATATATTTGGTGAATTATTAAATATTTATATATTTTACCCTAGTAATGTGTTACAATTGTTTGATTTCAGGATTCCATCAATGAAAATGACACAGATGATGACTCTATGGCAGAAGAAGGCTCTGCTATATCTGGTGAAGCCAGAGCTGAAGATACTGTCAGTATTGATTCTGATTCAGATAAAGATGCTGATGAAACTTCACAGGAAAGCCAAAGTAAAAAGAAAATATGTGATATAATTGTATTGGACAGTGAGAAAAGCCCTAATAGCAATAACTCAGAAGTACATGAAATTGATAGTGATAATGAAAATGAAGATTGTATTATAGCTGGTGAAGAAAAAACAGATTCCAACAAACAAGAAAATAAAGTACAACTGAGAAGGAGCAGTAGAGCCATAAAGAGAAAACGGTACACAGATGAAGTAGAAAATGAAAATGAGTCTGATATAGAAGAAGTGGAACCAGTTGATCCATTAAAACGCAAAAGCAAGCCTATAGTTATTAATGATGCAAAGGCTTTAGTTGCAATGGCTGCAAGACAAATGAAATCTGATCAGGGCAATGTTAAGAAAAAGGAGCCTACTGTTGTCATTATTGGAGGTAATTTATCTTCAAATAAGATGAATACACCACAGATTAACAAATCCTCAGTTGCTATTAATAATGCTGTGAATGCCCAAAACTCTGCAAATGCCCATAGTTTGTATCAAAGTATTATTGCCAGAGGCACAAGTGTGACTCCAGTTAGTATTAAAAATAACAACACTGCAACAACAACCACAACAACACAAAATCCACAGCCTGTAATTTTGCCCTCTTTAACTGATGATATGTTTGTGGTAGAAGCTCCTTCTTTCATAGTTCCATATGTCTATGAAAAACCATCTATAACTGCATTCAGGGAATTCGTTGACAAATTAGGTAAACAACTTGAAGAAGATAGGGTTAAAGAAGAAATTAAAGAGAAAGAAAAACGAGAAAAGGAAAAACAAGAAAGGAGAGATAGGGGAGAAGAAGTTGAGTCAGATGATCCTGAAAAAATCAACAATTTAGATAAATCAGATGATTGTGAGGAAGATCAGGGAATCAAAAGAAAAAAATCAAAAAAAGGTAACAATGATATCATGTCTCAAGAATATAATCTTTAACAATATATAGACATAAAATCTCTATCTATAATAGTAGAAGATCTGAACATACATTGACTTTCACCAAGCTGATAATAGAATAAAACATTTTTTAATCATGATTTTAGTATATTACAAAATATATAAAAAAAGGGTTGTCTAAAAAAATTCTGAACAGACTATTTTTAATTATTAAAAGAAAATATTTTTAATAAAATGTTGCAACATCTAGATAAGAAAAAGATGTCCTAAAAACAGTATAAAACGATTATAATATGGGTGATTCTGAGTTATGAGGTATGTTCGACGGCTAAGCCAAAAAAATCATTATATTTGGAAATTATGGTCTAAAATCTTAATAATTCCAATTAACTAAATGTGTTCTAAATTGTCACTGAAAATTATATTCTAAATGTGCATAATTTACTAACAATAACAGCACAAAGAGGAAAAACATCTCTCAAACAGGGGACAACCCAAGTGTCCCCTAACCGTTTTTTTTTTGTAAATCAGTAATTTTGAGTCCATTGAAATTTAATTTTTACTTTTCTATCGGTAATAACATGAACCCTAATAACTTAGTTACAGTATGTAACCATTAAACTCATTTATATTTGCACTTTTTATAAAAAATATTAATTGCAAACTGTGTCCTCCGAGTTTCGTGTCTCGCCCCCTGGCCTTAGGTTTAGTTTGAAAATCGTATTTGTTTACCATAGTCTATGCTAGTTTTGACCTTGAAGACACCGAGTGTCACGTGAAGTTAGCAGCAAGCGCTGCATAAGCCATCCGCGTGGCAATTTTTTTGGCCATTTGCGCAACAGTGCACTATGAGTGCAGCCGTGTTGAGTGATCGAAGTATTTACCCTTGTAATTTTTTTTTCGTATATATGTGTTTAAATACTACAATACCTATATACATTTATTTTAAATAATGCTGCAAACCTTTTATTTATTTGTAATCTTTGTAAAATTAGTAGTTTTACGGCAATTTTAGATTTTTAACGAAAATGTCTCTCCCCTGCCATATTTCCCCTGGCTGCTATGGTGCCAGGCTACTAACAAAACTATAAAAACGAAGCAATAGCTCAATAACAGTAATGATAATTTATTAGAGAATGTACAATTGCATATAATTTTAGATAATTGTTTAGCTTTATATCGTTATTCCACTAAAATCTGATTGCACGGATAAGTACTTTACATCCTAATATGCGCTCTAAGCGCATTGCAATAAAGTTCATCTTGTCTCTACCCTGTAATCAGTATCTCCCCTGGTGTCTCGTAAAACGAGAATAAATTAATAAAATGACTGATCATCTTAAAATCTTATTAAAATCATCAGTCTTGATAAAAGTAGTGGTATAGTTATATAAATATCGACACTTTGCTGTGCCGCTGCTTCCATACAACCGATTACCTCTTAACTGAGAATCACCCATATAGTAAAATATTTTCTTATACACTAAATTCATGATAAAATATGTTTCATTCTATTATCAGCTCAGTGAAGGTCGATGTAGGTTCGAATCTTAGACCATAAGGTTAAATTCTATGATACATTAATTTTTTTTAGCAAATGAAATGTTATTAAATGAAATTTTATTTTTCAACTTCTAACAAAGTTTTATAAAGTGAAATTTATATATTTTTACCTTACAGGGCAAAAAAGGAGGAACATGGAAGATGATGCATCTTGGGATGGTGAATCATCAACAGAATCTGTAGAATCTGCTTTAGATTCTGATGATGAAGTTTTAAGTGATCATAATGATAAAATAGTTGTAAAAGAAAAAATTGAACCAATTGAGCAAATGAAAACTGTTGCTAATCTCACTGCAGATAAGATTTGTTCAAACAAATCAAATGTTAAAAGTTCTATGGATTGTTCATTGGGTAAATTCTTTATTAATATTGGCTTAAATCTCGTACAGGAGTATGTACAGAGTGACTTGCTGAAACAGCAAAATCGTAAACTTAACAAGGAGAAAAAATCTGGACAAAGTACAAAAGCTATAGAATCTTCAATAGCACAACTTGTGAAAAACTTAGAATTTAGTAAAGAAAATAATGCACCATACAGCTTTCCTCAAAAGAAATGCGAATTCTGCAGCTTCAAAACAGAGTCGAAACTTGTCATGGCGCAGCACTTAGAGACGCCCCATATGAAAAACAATGTTTATACGTGTAATTTTTGCACATACGAAATTCGTAGTCCTCATGATATTTTGTTTCACATGGATTCCGTGCACAATATAAAAGGTAAATTAGAGAGAGCTCCATCTGGTCATCAATGTGTCAATTGTCCATTTGAAGACAATGGAAAAGGAAAACTAGCACGGCATTTGATTGCCTGTGCAAAGAAGTTTAAACCTGAATATAATCTTGCCCCTCCTGTTGACTGGGAACCACCTGCAAAGATACCAAAGGTTAGTACCAAATAAATATTGTATCTTCAAAGAACATTGACTTGATGTGAATTTATCTTGAGTAACAATTGATATCTTAGTTTCTTAAACTGTTTCACCATTTAATCAGTAGTTACTGCCATATGTCTGGCCAGTTAGATCAACTATTTCTACCAAACGCTGCAACCAGTTTGTTTCGTTTCAAAGCTTGTTAAAGCTCTTTTTTTATAGCATATAATTTTCCGTTTACAGATAGCCCGGCCACGTAATAACGTAATGAGTCCGTATCAAAACGCGTTCCATCGTAGTACAATGGGCACGCCTATCAGGGGTTCCGTGAACATGGGGGCCGTGGTTAGTGGAAACCCTGGGTACCGACCTCGCGGTCGATCGCCTATGGGAATGCCTCAACGGCCGCCAGTCTATGGGGTGCCTATAATGCGAGCCTCTAGTGTACGACATAACAACCCCTCTGCACTGAATATGCCGAATAACTTTACAATAGGAGTAAGTATTTAATTTAAAATGGGAGGTATAAGATACTTACATTAATATGTTATATAGAGATGGGCCGACTAGCCGCCGACTAGTCGGAAAAGACGACTATTCGGCTAAATATGCCGATTATAATCTGCATATAACAAATAAAACTCAAAACTATGCTTATTTTGAATATTTAAACAGTACCTAGAGTATGTATTTTTAGTTACCTACAGTCTTAAAATATAAAAAAATAAGGTAACATAATAAGAATTAAGAACTTAAGCATCTGTCAGTTATTCAGATAACACAATGAATATCCCACTTAACAAAATAGCAGTAAGAAGTAAGTACGTATTAATTGAGTGAAATCTTAAGTGCTAGCGAGTCTTAAGAAGTCCATAAGTACATTTTTTTTCTTTAGAGGCAAATTATGATGTTGAACATGAATATTTCGGCTCGTTTTGGGAGACTCGTATCGTGTGTGAGCAAGCAGAGTAGTGTCGAAATATTCTGAACATCTTCCTAAGATAGGTATTAGAATGATCGGCGTTGCAGAATAGTTGGCCGACTATATAGTCGGCAATTCCAAAACCTATTATACGGCTAGTCGGTTAGTCGGCAAATACTATAGTTGGCCCATCTCTAATGTTATACATTATACAAGTACTGTTGGTGTAGGGAGTGATTTTTAGGATAACTAAAATGTGCATGTCTTACATTTAAGAAACAAATCAATGTTATTCCACTGCAAAAGCTTTCGTTTTAGGGTCACTTCACTAAATTTCTTAAACACATGTTTAACACATCATTTCATCTTTGTCATTTGTTTAAAGTCTAATTAGCTTAATAATATGATACAAAGATTTAGCTTGAAGTGAGTCTTAGTTATAGACCAGGGTCGATAATTTTAAAAATGGTGAAAAGTGAAAAAAAAATATAGTAGGATGAAACCCATTAGAAAAGGTAGAGAATATAATAAAAATGAAAGGAAAAATAAATTACGGGCGATCTGAGGTCGGGAAGGGGGAGGGGGTGAGTTTTTAAGGGTAAAAAATGGTTAATCTCGATTTCCGGTAAAACTGCAAGTCCTATGAAAAAAAGTTTGATGGCAAAGTTGTAGGTAATAAAAAGATCTACAACTTTTGTATCGACACTTTTTTCACATAACCTCAAAATTTATGTGAAAAATGCGAATAACCGAGTTTTTGGTTTTTGATTTTTATTTTTTGCAAAAAAAAATATTTTTTCACGAAATTTGGTGAAAACTTACCTTTGTATGTCCCAAATATACAGTATTTTTTTTGATTTAAAATATTCATTTTTTCACCTTATTTTGACTTAATATCCAAAAAGCACCCTAATTTTCAATCGAAAATTCTCACGTCAAAATATCTGCTTTTTTAAAAAAGTTGGGGTGTTTTTTGTTTGTTGAAATCTCTACTTTCTGATGGTATAAAAAAAATATACACTACTATAATAAATGTTCTCAGAAAATGCAAATTAATAATGAAAAAAACTCGAATCGGAAAATCCTATTTTTAATACCTACTTAGAACAACTATTTTTGCATGTTTTATGGATTTGTAATTTTTCTGTTTATCAGTATAACATGAAATCTTACGTTTTTCGATTAATTAAAGTGTAAATTTTAATAAATAGTTCAAAATTATACATAATGATTCAAATCATTTTTTCGGATTGGAGTTTTTTTCATTATTAATTTGCAGTTTCTGAGAACATTTACCATAGTAGTGTATATTTTTTTTATACCATCAGAAAGTAGAGATTTCGACAAAGAAAAAACACCCCAACTTTTTTAAAAAAGCAGATATTTTGACGTGAGAATTTTCGATTGAAAATAAGGGTGTTTTTCGATATTAAGTCAAAATAAGGTGAAAAAATGAATATTTTAAATCAAAAAAATTACTGTATGTTTGGGATATACAAAGGTAAGTTTTTCACCAAATTTCGTGAAAAAATATTTTTTTTTGTAAAAAATAAAAATCAAAAACCAAAAACTCGGTTATTCGCATTTTTCACATAAATTTTGAGGTTATGTGAAAAAAGTGTCGATACAAAAGTTGTAGATCTTTTTATTACCTACAACTTTGCCATCAAACTTTTTTTCATAGGACTTGCAGTTTTACCGGAAATCGAGATTAACCATTTTTTACCCTTAAAAACTCACCCCCTCCCCCTTCCCGACCTCAGATCGCCCGTAATTTATTTTTTCTTTCATTTTTGTTATATTCTCTACCTTTTCTAATGGGTTTCATCCTACTATAATTTTTTTGGTCTCAAAAATTATCGACCCTGGTCTATTATCACTTATCAATAAATCAAAAACGTAATTTTTGTGTTAGGGTTCCATTACTTAAATTTTTATTATTACACCTCTTGCTGTCCGTATATCAGCTGGCTATGTTTTATAAACTATTAAAATTAAAAAGCTGAAAATATCACAGAATGTTTTTTTTTATTGCTGCTATTAAAGTAAAGAAAGATAAATAAGATATATAATTAAAAAAGTAGAAAATTCCGTTGGACTTGATGTTAAATGTTTTACTGTTGGTACTTACTAGTTCTCCTATTGACTTGTGCTTAGCCTGACTTTAATATTATTCAGTCAGATCTTCCTGTAGTAATTTTACAAATGCTTGTTTTTAATAAATCCACATGTGTTAAGCAAAAAGCAAAAATATATATATGCTTCTTTCATATTAAATTGGTCGAAATACAATAACCTATTCATCTTTCCAGAATAATAACAAACCAAAGTCTTCGCACCAACCTTCGATTTCTATCACGCCTCTACCGAGACAGCCCGCGCCGAACCCAGTGGCGCAACCCACTAACGTCAATGCCAATAACAAAAACTCGTTCGTTATTTGTGAAATCTGTGACGGGTACATAAAGGACTTAGAACAGTTGAGAAATCACATGCAGTGGATACACAAAGTGAAAATCCACCCTAAAATGATTTACAATCGGCCACCACTCAATTGTCAAAAGTGTCAGTTCAGGTAATTTTTTTCATTGATATTTATTTCTTACTCCGAACTATTATTATTAATGCGAAAGTGTGTTTATATGTTAGCTCTTCACGCTTAAACCTTTGAAACAATTTGAAAAAATAAATAAAATTTAGTATACAAATAATTTAAGTCTGGACAAAGGTCATAGAATAGATTTTATTCTAGAAATCATCCTTTAAGGGGGTGAAAGGAGAGGTAGAAGTTTGTATATAAAAAAAAAACACTTTACCTAATATATGTATGTGCATGCAGTGTTGGCCTTTAATTGGTTAGCACATTTAGCATTAAATTTAGTAGATAAGAATTATTGTAAGTTTCTATGTAGCAACCGTTGGCTGACATAAATAAATAAATAAAAAAAAAATGGGAAACTAATATTTTCAAGCAGGCGAAATCGGGGGCACCCACTGGTATGTGATAAAACTAGCCCTCACTTCGTAGTTTTTTTAATAATAGTGAAGAAACAGACAGACAGAAAAAGAATTAGGTTGTCAGTGACAACCTAATCTTTTTCTGTCTGTCTGTGACAACTTGTCACAGTTGTACTTGCTTAGGCTTTGAGCCCCCAATTTTGGGTGATTAATAGATTATTTTAAACATCCCAGGTTCTTCACAGATCAAGGCTTTGAAAGGCACTTGTTAGGGTCGCATGGATTAGTCACGAGTTCCATGCAGGAAGCCGCCAACAAAGGGAAGGATGCTGGCAGATGTCCCGTTTGTGGAAGGGTGAGCTTACATTTTTGATATTTTTAAATAGTCTCCTACTTATTACTTAAATAAATAAATAAAATTGTAGCACGTGCGTAAATACACACTTACTACTCAAAGCATCTATATAGTCGCTATTCATGCTCAAATCTAGTTGATTGTTGACCTATTACACACGTGCTATTCAAAGCAGCGATACAGTCGCGATTCGATCTCTAATAATATACTTTTACACACGTACTACTCTTGGCAGCGATACAGCCGCTATTCATTCTCAAATCAACTTCTTTTACACACTTGCTACTCAAAGCAGCGGTACAGTCACGATTCAATCTCAAATCAAATACTTTTACACACGTACTACTCAAAGCACATATACAGCCGCTATTTATTCTCAAATCAACTTCTTTTACACACGTGCTACTCAAAGCAGCGGTACAGTCACTATTCAATATCAAATCATATACTTTTACACACGTGCTACTTAGAGCGGCGATACAGTTGCGGTGCAGCATCGAATCAGTCTGAAATCGTTTAGTTTTTAGAATGAAATTGTCTACTTAATGGTGAATCTGAAATAAGTATCGAGCACAAATATGCCCGGGTTTCAGTCAGTAAACCAATAGTAAGCGCGAGAGAAACGGAGCGATCGTGTGGTTCAAAGTTTTTATAAGTATTGACTGTTTTATTTCTCTGTCTAGAGAATTGTCAATTTCACATAAGTACTACTTGGCTTAGCTAATTCTCTGTCTATGGTAAAACCTCGCGTGTATCTAAATTTATACAGTAGCTTTGGCGTCCTCCTAGCCTAATTAGCAAAAATCGCAGCATTGAGGTCTAAAGGACCTTAAATATGGATGTTTAAGAATGAAATCATTGTAAGAATTTACAAGGGATGATTTGACAGATTGAAGTTATTTAAAAATCTATAATAGCAGTCTCTCTTATTTTGATTTGTAGAATAATTAAAGTTTCAAACTTACATGCTGCCTTGGCGTTTTTCAGGTTTACCAATGGAAACTTTTGAACCATGTGGCCCGTGACCACAATCTAACTTTAAAACCGGGTCATCTTTCGTACAAATGTACCGTGTGTACAGCTACATTTGGCATGTACAAGCAGTTTGAGCACCACGTTTATTCGGCACATAGTGTTGTAGCTAAACGAGTCATGGACAAGAATAAGACGGCCACGAAGCCAACTAAAGGAAACAACGACACTCTTCTGAAGCCACTGAAAATTAACGAGGAAATTACTATAACACCACAATCGGTCAAGTCCGCGGCGTCCAAGCCTGCCAAAGATAAATAAGGTAAGATTATGTTACAAAAACTTTTTTAACTAATAATATGAACATGACCACCGAACTGTCGGAATACCAGCACTGATTCAGTACAAAAAGTATTGATTTTCTCGTATCAGCATAAGCTTGTTTGTCATCAAATAGGTTTGGTTTTGTATTTATCAGACTAACATTTTTAGGTAGCTTTGTATGATGACCAATAATGACAATTTAATATTGTTACGTTTTATTCAAATTCAAACAAATAGCAACCATTTTGTGCACAGTTATGTTGACTACTTTAAACTGTCATATGTTTGGGGTAATTTATTAGTATACACTTATTTTTGTAGTTAGTATTTTTCCTTTGCTGCAATTGATTTTTTTTAATGGTATTTATTATATATAGACTATATTAATCATTAAAACTAAGCATATCTTGATAAAAAAGTTAAGATTTACTTCAAAAGCAGATTTGACTTGCCAGTTCTTCTCCATACAGGGTTCATTGATATACATTTGGGAATCATTGGTTAGTGATATCGGTATCGCCAGCACCTACAGGGAATGATTTTATCATTAGGGAAGCCATATGCTTATTTGTTATTCTTATTTTATAAAAAAGTATTGTTCTTATGGGCTAACATGTTAAATATCCTTACAAATCTATACTTATTATTCATCATTTCTGTATGGATGCAATGCGACATTGGGCCTTAGATGGGCCTTGATGATGATGATCTAATGCCCATTGATGGGTGCTTATGACTAAAGATGCAGCCGGGACCAACCGAAGTGCGTTCCGAAGCACGAAAGAGCTCGAGATAATAAATGTTGGTTACCTATCCTACAAATGGGTATCTCGAAAGTTGCTTAACTTCAACGATCGTAGCTCAAACACGTATCGTACACCTTTTATTATTATAAAGATGGTAAATTTTGAATGTAAGACGTAATATCTGGAACCACTGAACAAATCTACATTTCCTCTGAGTTAAATAGACTATTTTTTATTGCGTTACTATATATTTTCCCCTTGCTAAGCTGGGCTAGAATTTAGTGGTAGTATGTTGTGACTTCCGAGCTAAACTTAGGTACAGGCTTGTCCCATGTAAAAAGGTACAGAACAGTCCGTATTAATGGGTGCTAACGATTGCAGTTGCAGCTGGTACTAATGGGATAACGCGTGCCTTGCGTAGCCAGAGGGATAGTCTGATAATATATTTTTACCCTTCCTATGAAGAGCCATTGCGAAAGATTGCGAAAGTTTCTTCCATTTATATCGTACGCGCTAACCACTGCGCCAACGAGCTCATCTATCTTCATCTACATATTTGAGTTTCTATATACATGAGCTTCAGTAATACTTAGGTATAAACTATAAACTAACGAACTTATGTTATGCCCATAAAATTATTAATTGTAGTAACAACTTATCATAATGAAATTTTCAACTTATAGTGATAACATACGGTATCGCAAGCGTTTATTAGTTATAGTGGCTGTTACCGCGTTGAATTGCGCGATTAATATGATGTCACCTTTACAATTTACATAAAAAATAAATATATGTGAATGTTAGTATTTAGGTATTTATTGGTCAGTCTCGTAAAAGCGATTCAATAGGTTTGGATGAAACTTGGCTTCATTGTCACGTAATAAAAGTCCCCACTGCTGGAGCATAGGCCAAGGGAGCCTCGTAAGTACGGATCTTAACCTAACTCGCGGGACCAGTGCAGATTAGTGGGTGCTAACAACTGCAGATGCAGCTAAGAAAAATAGATGCTTATTATAATTAATGTGAAAGATTGTATGTTTGCATATTCTGATCTTTGTTATTCACTTACACAAGCTTACAGCTCAATACATTTGGGTGATGTATAAAGATAGTTTTTACCGATTTAGACAAAAACAAAATATTTATCCTGGTTAAAAAGGTCACCAGGGGGCCAATCGCCTAACGTAAATGCTTTGGGAAACGCTAACGCTTACGATTTTATATTGTTATTTCTAGCCGCCTGAGGTTTTCGAATACCTCACGCTCATTTTTTTTAATATTGTTATTACCAATGCAAAAGAAAAAGAAAGAGCGCGAGGCATTTGAATACCTCAGGCGGCTAGAAATAACAAAATAAAATCGTAAGCGTAAGCGTTTTCCAAAGCATTTCCGTTAGGCGATTGGCCTCCAGGGTTAAAAACAAGTCTACGCAAACAGAGTTGTGCTCAAAAGCTAGTTTATAATATATATACCCACTTAGTTATTGGTTTTATTAATAGTTTGCTTTTGCGAAAATGATTGTTTTGTGCTCAATATCTTATATGCGAATGCTTATATATGTAGTTTCTGATAAGAAACATATAAATCGTTTTGCCAAAATGTGTTAGTTATGCTGTGTAGTGTATGCTGGGAGCAAAAATAAAATAAGCAATATGTTGACTACAGCTAATTTACCAGGGCAGATAGTAAAAGTTTATCGACACACATAGGTAACAGTACCCTTAGCACGAGTTTTACAATTACGAAAACTATGATAGTTTTCCTGAGCTCACACTCGTTCTAAGGGTACTGATTTTATTGTTTTCGTTTCAATACAAATAAGCGATTTTAAATTCTATCATTTGCGTCTTCTTAAATTTTAAGTATATTTGGTTAACTTTCACCAAAATAGACATAGGAACATAATTTACAATTACGAGAACTATGATAGTTTTCGTGAGCTCAAACTCGTACTAAGGTTACTGGTACGGAAACGCTGGCGACTTGTTTTGCGAGTACGTCTAAGAGCCTGCGCTACGTTAAGCGTGAGCACGGAGCGGGCGTCCGCTCGGCGTGGATTTTTTATGTCATTTCATAGAAGAGCGCGGCGTGGTAGACCCTCCTAACGCAGTGCTGCTTTATGAAATAACATGAAACAAACACGCCGAGCGGACGCCCGCTCCGTGGTCACGTTTAACGCAGCGCAGGCTCTTAGGCTTAATAAATTCCAAGAGACTACATTGTTCGTTACTCCAACTTCGAACTGACTCAATCTTGGAGCGAGAAGATGGTCGTATTTTTAATTTTTATATTAGAGGTTATCATTTGATTTTGACTGAGCTTTGTAAGAAATGTTGCATCATCATCAGCTTATTAATGTTGGGGCACAGGCCTTACCTGGAATAGGGAGATTAGGCTCTGGTTACACCGCGGGCCCTCCATTGATGGGTGCTAGCGACTGCAGATACAGCTGGCCTTTCAAAGTACCGAGAACCTTGAGATGATAAATTTTTGGTCACCCATCCAATGACCTGCGAAAGTTGCTTAACTTCCACCGAGCTCCAAATGTTCGAACAAATGTTTCTTATATATTCTGATTGGATTATTGTAATAAATGAAATATTTTTTCTAATGCTGTCGTGTTTGGTGCACTGCATTTGTTGCATTATGATTTTTTAACCGTGAGATTTGATATTGCTTCTGATTACTTTGCGTAATAATATTGGCTATAATTTGGTTATGTATTCAAGAACTAAATGTATTGCAGAACTATAAGATTCAATTATTATTATTGTTGGAGTTGCCTTGCTTATGTGCAGTTTTTTTACCTAAAAAGAGTGACAAACGAACATTTGTCCCGCCTGATGGTATGCGGCCAGCCTATAGAGGTTCATCATCATCATCATCAGCCTATTAATGTCCCCACTGCTGGGGCACAGGCCTTCCCTATGGATGGAATAGGGAGATTTTAGCCATGACCCACCACGCGGCCCCAGTGCGGTTTGGCGGGTGCTAACGACTGCAGATGCCGCCGGGACCAACGGCTTAACGTGCCTTCCGAAGCACGGAGGAACTCGAGATAGAAGATTTTTGGCTACCCATCCAATGACCGACCACTGCGAAAGTTGCTTAACGTTAACGATCGCAGCCGAACGCGCTAACCACCCGCGCCATCGAGCTCCTTAGAGGTTAGCGTTACCTATTCCTTACCACGTGGTAGCAATTACAATTGAGAAAATTTGTTAGTTTGTTGTAACTTGATGTGTGGCTAGCTGTAGCTATGTATATTTATTTTTCATAAGCTGCTGCGCCTTTTGTACAAGAACATATATATGCATGCTGATTAAAAACCATAACTATAAACTACTTTTTTTGGCAAACAGTTATTAACCAAAACAAACGTTTTGGTTCGAGATCTGTATGAATTACAAACAAATTAAGAACCTTAGAAAAGTACATATGGTTTTTTTCATCAAAACAGTTCCTCTTCTGTGATATTAATAAATGGGAAAGGTTTGTATAATTGTAACGGATAAACTCGAAACTACTGAACCGATTTTGAAAATCTTTCACTAGTGGAAAGATACATTATTAGGCTATAAGTATTTTATCGCTCTAAAATTAATTTCCCCCGTGCAAAGCCGCAGGTCCGTAGCCAAAGTTGGCTATTCAAAGGGGGAACGCTGCCAGTATCTTCGGAACCTTGCCTAAACGGACTCTTTTTAATAATAATATATTTTAGTTATTATATTACATTTTTTAAGGTTTTTAGTCTTAGGTCCACTGTTCCTGTATATATTTTTTTTTTTTGTCAGAGTAGTATTTAAGATAGGGCAGCGGTAATTACAAGTAGAGCATAAGCAGGGGCGTGCCGCCCTTCGCATCCTAGCGCCCCGTTTTAGGGTAGGGCATTCCCCATTATTCTCTATCTACGACCCTGCAAAGCCGGATTGCGTCGCTCGTTGTCTATAAAATAAAAAATGCTAAAACAACTCCCAATACCAATACAACATTAAAGCAACATGCGAAATTATAATGTAAATTACATTTTTTTTCAAATGCGATGTGAATGCCTGTTTTGGCCATTACAAAGTTTTTTACTCCTAGATGAATGTTTTTTAATAAGTTTAGTGTAAAATATTATACTCAATTTTCTAAAATTTAGTTTATAACACACTTTGAGCAATAAATAAATTGCGTTGCGGGGCCTTTTTTATGACTCAATTAAACTTGGTCGTTAGCCCGAATACGATTGCCAATGGAATTCTGGTAAACGACTTAGTGTAAATGAACGAAGTCGAATACGCCCGTATCGGGGTAGTTTTCGTTTTGGTTACCCGACACCTTCTTCCAGCCCGTTTTCTAGTGTAAATATTGCTTCGGGTGCCCGAATTCGAGTATTGTCTTTCGTGCAACCGTATACGGTCTAACGACCAAGTGTAATCGAGCCATTAGTATGTTATTCTATGAATTCTCAATGTTCTTACAAAAATAATTTAAACCATTTATCTATACTAATATTATAAACAGGAAAGGTTTGTATGTAAGTATGTTTGTAACGAATTGGCTCAAAAAGTGCTGGAACGATTTTAAAAATTCTTTCACCTCAGCATACTACATTTTCACTGATTAATATAGGCTATAGTGTATTTTCAAAAAAGTTAGGGTTCCCTATGAAAAATTCGATAATGTAACCCAACGTTTGTAAAAATTCCAAAAAATAGGCTTATATCGCGTACGCTGCGGAAGTCATTGACAATAGAGCAAAGTGATGTACTAAAGTTTTATAGAGGATACTTATATCTACAAAGAAGTCCGCGATACCATAATACGTCTAACTATTACAGTTATGTAACAACTAGAGGTCTCCTGCGGTTTCACCCGCGTTAATTTGAAGAAAATGCTTTATAGTGAGTCAAATTTAAAATATGGACACAGGCTGTCGTGGACTTTTTTACAGAACTTTTAAAGGGAAAGAATTCCGTCATACATGTTTTTGTGTAACTTTAACCGAAGAACTTTTCATCGATGCTCCGCTGCTACTAGTCGTAGCCTGGTAATATATAGCCTATAGCCTTCCTCGATAAATACATTTTCCAAATACAAACATATTTTTTCAAATCGGAACAGCAGAGCAATGTTGCATTCGGTACAACGGGTCTTAAACTACGCAACGAATTTTTTACTTGGAATGGAAGGTTTATAATTATTATGAAGAAAGTCATTGTTTATATTACAAGCCTTTGAACAAAAACTATAGTCTACACTATAGCTCTACACCCAAGCAAAGCGAGGGCGGCCACTAGTTATGCATAAAAGCAATCGGCGAAATAAATGGCACATGTTACGCAAATACACATAATATTGCATTTTTATTCTTTCGTTTACAAATGCGAATGAGATTGTCATGATATGTTTATCTGTTTTTATTGAAGATGTCAATTTAAATTTGTGACTTAACTACTAAGAGGTTTTGCTTTTATCAGTAATAAGGAGGAAGATCCAAATAATACGGGGGCATCGATATAGTACTACTGAGCTTGTGATACTATCAGATATTCTGTTTATAATTTTCCAATCTACATTTAACCATAAATAAGAAACAATATTTTACATTTTTTATAAGTATGTATTTGAATTATATCATCATCATCATCAGCCTATTAATGTCCCCACTGCTGGGGCACAGACCTTCCCTATGGATGGAATAAGGAGATTGGGCCATGACCCTCCACCGGGCCCAGTGCGGATTGGTGGGTGCTAACGACTGCAGATGCAGCCGGGACCAACGGCTTAACGTGCCTTCCGAAGCACGGATGAGCTCGAGATAGTAAGTTTTTGGTCACCCATCCAATGACCGACCACTGCGAAAGTTGCTAAATTTCAACGATCGCAGCCGAACGCGCCAACCACTTGCGTCAGCGAGCTCTTCGAATTATATATAATGTCTGCTAAATATTAGTAGAATGTGCGTCTAATGACCGCATTCAAAGAGATCAATTAATAAAATATTTGTCAAAGGGTTGTCATATATTGCTATCGCAAAGAAAGTGAAGTACAGTACCCCTAGCAAGAACCAATATCGAATTCGATTAGTTTGCGAGTCCGAAATGTCAATGTCAAATTGTATGGAAAGTTGAACAGCAGCGCTACAAAGGATGTAACGAGAACTAAAAATCAGTACACATTTGACAATGAAATTTCGGACTCACAAAGGATTCGAATTCGATATTGGTTCGTGCTAAGGGTACAGTCCGTGAGACCTAAGCTGAGGTTGCATTGTCGTGCACGAGTCGAGTGTATGCACATAGATATGTATGACGTGAGGTGACGCACCTTCCACACTTCACTTCTTAAGCTGGCAGCGTGACTTGTTAAATTCTAAATATATTGTTTTTATGTTCGATTTATAAGTGAAATATCCGCAAACACAAATAAACGAAGGATACGAAAATCTTGAAATAGCCAAGTAAAGAAATTTTCTATACGGAACCTTTCGGAATCTTTGCTTTTGAAAGTTAAAAATAAACTGAAGAAAAAAAAAATCAGGTATTGAAAAATCAGTATCGTTAGCTATATGTTATTGTTATTCACAAAAGTCTTTGAATGTTTTATATAGTAACAGTATTCCATTGTTGCAGGAATATGAAAATGCGGGACCGGCGTCAACTATGAATCGCAAGCTTGCCTTTGCCACTTAGGACAGATACATACACACTGCAATTCTAAAATTAGAGCGCATTTCAATTTTCCTGTGACGAGTAAGATTCTTAGAAACTATAGTAATTGATGAAAATGTGGGCCTAAATGATAAAATATGTCGCATTTCAGAAGCCTCATCTGTATCAAAATGTTACCATAGATATATGATACAATAGGGTGGTTGTCCGCTGAATGTTGAATTGTCAATCACTAGATGTCAATTCATGTTTTCTTCTGGGTCAAAATTAACCACACTTTCTCCAGAAAAGCATGCGATCTCCCCTGGTGGCAAAACCAACGTTTTAAAATTGGCAGGAGAGGATTCCATTCATATCAGTACGATACGAATAATATTGCTAGCGATTATTATGTAATAAGTAAAATATCAATAATTACAATAAAGAGGAAGTTTTCTTTTGCCATTTTTATAATATGTCATTGTACAGTTTAACTATGGTAACGTACAACTGCTGCGATTACGTTTCTGGACTCGTGAAGTTATATCATTTACACAGTGTCTTAGTTGATTGCTATAGTTTAAAATGTTTACTAAGCTTTGTGATATAAGTGCAAAAATAGAAGATTTAACACAAATACAGTAAATTACGTTTTTTTTCTTAGTACTGCAGCTACTAGGTTAGCGAGTGCTGAACATTATAAATTACATCTATAATAGTAAGTATGTAAAGAGTTAAACACAATGAAAATTAGCACAACAGTTTTCAACTCACTGCCCCGGCCCTCGTAGCCAGTGATATATTTATAGAGTACTGCTAATATATAATGAAAATTGTGAAGCAAGGCAGTGATATACGGGAACATATTCATAGAACTTTAATCTTGTTAATAAATCAGTTTCATATTGATTGGAATGTATGCTTACCCTGTTACGTGTTACTTCATCGGTTCTAAACCTTGGTGGATACAAATCTGGTAGTGTGAATACCCATGTGGTATGATTTTATCATACAAGGCGCAACAAATTACCTCACCCACTTGATGTTAAGTGTACGCGAGTCTAGTTGCGAGGGTAACTAATGGGGTAGAGAAATATGCTTATCTAGCCATCATTACTTGCCGTCCTGAATCTCCTACCCAGTGGAGCCATCGTAAAAGGTAATTTAACCGTAGTCTTTCTTTTGTAAGATGGAAGTTCCTAAAACGATAGCTCCAGTTCACGCGTAAAAGCCTACAAACCCTATATTTCCTAAATGGTTTAAATTAGCGCCTTTAATAGGAATAATTTGTCAGTTTTGTTAATATTGTTGCAGTTTGCCACAGACAATTTAATAAATCCGCCTTAAGAATTAGCTAAATGGTTTGAAAACGATTTGTTCTCAAAGTCAGATGTATATCTTCAATGTGATGATCTTTCAATACTCTCAAATAACGAATGGGTATCATTTGATACCTCTATTACTTTAATTTCATAATATTGTATAAATGTTGAGGTCTTTAGCTTTTTATATGAAAGAGATATTTAAAAATCTGAGTTTATATGAGATGTTTGATTGTATGTATTTGCGGTGTTACTGTAACTCTAATTTATAGTTGCCTGGATAGTCAATATATTATGGTGGACATAATTTTATTCTGGCGAGGTTACAAGATTGTTATAATAATGTTATGGTTTATTAGCTCGTTTAGTCAATTATTGTATTTACATGAAACAAAGAGATGATCAGAAAACTAACCATTTCATATAGAGTACTGGTTTCAATGTCACTGAACACTTAAATTCCTTTTAAAATTTTGAAATAATATGTTTGTTTTTTGCACGTATTAATGATACTTTTGTTTTAGCAAAAAATATAGAAAACAAATTGCCGTATTGAAGGCAATTATTTTGTAAGTATATTTTTTTGCTTTATAAAAATAATTCAACTTTTTTTAATAAATAAATTTTCCATTTCGTTTTTTTTCATATGTTGCGATTTTTTTTATTTTAAAAATAAAACAGTGAAATTGGTTTGAACAAAAAGAGTGAATATATTTCCTGTTTTTTTAAATGTTAGTCATAGACAGAATTAGAGGAAATGGCATGTGTAAATTATTTGGCTGCAGCGACTGACCATAAGGCCAGTTTCCCAAATGCTCAGAGTTGCTTACAAATAGTGATTATTTAGCTATCGTATTTCTAAAGATGTACACATAACTTTGTTTTGTGTTTAGAATAGTTATCGAATGTTGTAAAATAACAAAGCTGTCACTAAAATTGGACCTCGCCAATTATTTAGAAGTATGAATAAAAGTTTTTTTAATAATCCGTATTATCAATTATTAATTACTTAATTACGTTGTAAGCAAAAGGAAAGTTTGCACATAAAAGTTCAATCAGCCACATTAACTAAATTTCGATTGATTAATTTAAATGCAGTTAATGAGGTAGTTTTAATCCGTAATCCTTAGATATCCGTATTATAAATACAAATCATTCAAAGAGTCATCATGAAAAGTAAAAAATGATCACAAATGTTCGCAGTCGACGTTCGGAAATAACTCTCGGCTCAAAGGCCATAATAATACGTAAATACCTTTTGATTCAACAGAAACTTAAAAGTTAACAGCTAGCTCTTTACTAATACACTAGTATAGTATTCTATATTTTTGCTCTTAATACAGTATTGAAGAATGCATTTAGGTCTGTTTTCTATCTAGGTCTAGGAAATCTAGTTTATGATGGATATCAAACAGACAGTTCACAACATAAAATATGGAAGGTGCTCAAACACGCAAAAGCGGGTGAATTGATTTTGATGTAATTAGTCCCACATATTATATACCTGTTACAAATAAAATGCCTGTAGCCTAATACAGCATAATATTTTAAGTAAACAAATATAAAATTTATTTACTGATCGAAGCATTTAGCACAATTTTGCTATTAGCACTACTTACAAAAGAATATGTTTTTGTAAATGTTGAAGATATGCTGAATTCAAACGCAGTCTCAAATGTGATAGCAACTACCAAACCTTTATTAAAATATTATGAGAGAATTGCAAATTTTATCTTTATCTGAGCGTCTTTGTCAATATTTATGTTCGCAAATTTTTATATACAGATAATGTGATGTGGAATAGAGTCTATTACTACTAGTGACTTATTCGCGTGACAACAGTAAAAAACATTATCGATTTTATAAATTTTTAGTAAAAACATGTTTTTATGTCAGAGTATATTTCATAAAAACATCTACAATTGCTTGCTACCTACCATCATTTTTACACTGTCAAACAGCTTATTAGTTGATGAATATGAATGCTAATCATCTAATTAATGGTCTACTAACAATCTGGCCAATGTTGTACTATGTTTAGAATTCATACGAAATATAAATGGTTCCCTCTATTGGGTAGTGATAAAAATTTTATACTAGCGGATCCGACAGAAGTCTTGCCCTAAAACCTTAATGCAGCACGCACTTACCGAGTCCAGTCGTGAATCTAAACCATTTACCAAAACTTTCATCAAAATCGATGTAGCCGTTGAGTTTAGTGCAAAGAAAAACTGTTTTTAGGGTTCCGTAGCCATGTGGCAAAAAACGGAACCCTTATGGATTCCTCATGTCTGTCCGTCGGTATGTCACAGCCACTTTTTTCCGAAACTATAAGAACTATTCTGTTGTAACTTGGCAAATAGATGTATTCTGTGAACCGCATTAAGATTTTCACACAAAAAAAGGAAAAAAAAACTATAAATTTTGGGGGTTCCCCATATAATATAAAATAATCCCATACATGTGGTGTATCTATGGATAGGTCTTCAAAAATGATTTTGAGGTTACTTATATCATTTTTTTCTAAACTGAATACTTTGCGCGAGAGACACTTCCAAAGTGGTAAAATGAGCCCCCCCCCCCCAGCAACTTCTAAAATAAGAGAATGATAAAACTAAAAGAAATGTATGATGTACATTACCATGCAAACTTCCACGTTTTTTGTGGTTTTGAACGAGATCTAGTAAGTAGTTTTTTTCAATACGTCATAAATCGTAAACCGCAATTTACCTTTCATTTAATCAAATCAAATATAAAAAAAAAAACATTTAATTTTATGAACATAAACCCTATGCATTAACCGTGATACATAAATTTTAATTATCAATAACTTAATTTAAAAAAAATACACTTATTAAAACATCGATCAAAGTTACTGCAAGAACTTTTATGTTACTTGCTGCTACGGAACCCTTCATGGGCGAGTCCGACTCGCACTTTGCCGCTTTTTTAAAATTTAATTTCTAAATATTGCTTGTTAAATAAAACATCGACAAACATCGGCAATTACAAAATGTATGTACGGTTACACAAGAGAACATAATCAATGAAAATTAAATATTACTAAAAACAGATTTGCTTAATCAATAGTAACACAAACGGAAGGCCCGGCGCTTGTTTCAATCGTGTCTGATGCCTGGCCTGAGTGGAAAGGAGAATGGGCAAATTGGTCTACCTACTCAACACCAACGAGCCATGTATCAATGAAAAGCACATTTCTTATACTTTATTTTTTTGTCTGACCGCAAATGGCGTTTCTCCTCTTTTAATGGGATCAGACTTTACAACTAAACAGTTCTACAGGGTTTGGCGGGGGAGAGAGTAGGGAGTGGGGTTGGGATTGGTACAAAACTTGTTTGCAGCCCCCCCAGCCACTCAATCACACTTCCAAATGATCGCGACAGTGCATTTAATTGGATTTATTCAATTAATGACGTATTTATTTTGGATTGCGGCTTCAGAGACGCTTTACCTGATTTTAAAGCATGCGGGAACCAAGCACACATGCCACCCAGTAAGGACAGAAACAGTACGCAGCTATCCACAGAACAAGCAAATAAATCTAGATTAATTACCATTGTAATAAGTCAGTTCCGAACATGTTTGAACATGTTCGGATTGCGGCAGCACTTATTAATGCTTTCCACCTGCCAATCCGGGCAATGCTTATGCCGACGCGATATAAATGAGAGAATACAGATAGATACAATCATAAATGAGAGAATTTATTCTGGAAATCATTTGGCTCAATATAACATGCAAAAAACTTAAATAGGTCACGTGTCGTGTTTACAAGAATGGCAAATCTTCCTGATTTTGAAGACATTCAGCGATTAGAAGAAGAACGTCTGATTCTAATCGCCCCAGGAACTTATCATATTAATGTGCCGAACATTTCAACGATGGAATAATTCCAAGACAATGAACTCGATGAAATAACTTTGAAGTGGAAGAAAGAAGTTTCTTACTGAGAGGACGAATACAATCACGTCATTCAGGAGCAAAAGCAATACTGCACATACGTGCTAATAAACAGAGGGATTGAAGGAAGAGACGCTTTCAGGTACTTCCCACCCTTCTACAGGCATAGCACGTGTTTGACAGGACGTCGCACAATTGGGACATGTGCACATAGAATATTTTGTGGTACTTATGCTGGGCCATCAGGAAGGTCTCATACCGCCAGTTGCGCGCTTAGTAATGTTATT